CTCCTTGAACCTAAAAAGCAATAATAAGAGGTGATTTGCTCTGTTATTCTTTTTAATCAAGTAATGAAAGCTGTTATACAAGATTGGCATAAATGTGTACCTACTTCTCCAGGCTGTAGGGGGAGACTGATGGCTCTTAAAACTTCAATTTTATTCACAATCCGGGGACATGCTCTGTCACTAGCAAACGAAATGTTGCTACAATTAAATAAAGGCACTCTTTCAAGTTGTTGAGGCAGACTCTCAATTTGTTGAACAACAGATGTTTCCAAGGATGATTTAACTTCACAACCAGACTCCCACAAAACCAATGATTGCTCCTAGTTCCATACCCAGTTCAAACGATTTCCAGAATTCTACTGTCTTCTTTGTTGTCTTTGCCACAACAGTTTGTTGGTTTGCTCTTTGATTTTTCTTCTTCCAGGCAAGTTGGTCTTAGAGGAAGCCAATAGAGTTCAAGATTATCAACAAATGCAGAAGCATCAAAGGTCTGCATTTGGGTTGATAATGGGATTCTTCCAGAAAAGTTGTTATATGACAGGTTCAAAGTGTTGAGAAAATTTAAATGGGACATGCTCCAAGGAAGCTGACCTGAAAGCTGGTTTTGTGACAAGTCAAGTGATTCTCACTATCTAATCTTCCCAATATCTGAAGGAATCCTTCCTGTCAAATGATTTCTTGATGAGTTCAGCTGATGTAGTCTGGAGAGACTCGAAATCTTGACTGGAATTTCTCCTGTTAATTTGTTGCTTGAAAGATTGATGATCCTCAGATTTTTGAGATCACCATCCTCATAATCACATTCCATTCCTTTCCACATTAAAGATGCTTTGTCAACGTAGCTTCTTGCATGAAAGAAATACTCATCAATAATTAATAAACCATACTTACTGACTGAACTTTACCTTTTTGTTAATGCAGTCAGATTATGCATGCACCTTGGTATGCTTTCAGATAGATTGTTGTTGGAGAGATCCATTAGCACAATATTTGTCAAGCAGCATAACTACAAGGGCAAAATCATTGGATCTCAAGAGAAGGAAAGCTAGCGATCTTCGCCTTTCTCCAATCCAAGCTGGTACTATTCCCGAGGATCTATTATAAATTTATAACTCAAGTCCACAAATTGCAAGGCACTGCAATCCCATAAAGGCCAAGGTATTTCTCCAGAGAAACTGTTGTCACGCAAATTAAACGTTTCAAGCTGGTACAAAGATCCAATAGAGCTTGGAATTTTCTCAAATAATTGATTTTCAGCCAAATTCACAATTCCTAGACTTGAGAAACTGAACCAGAAAACCTACTTTTTGAGAGGTTTATGAATGTGCATTATGAGGGAATTCTGGTAATGGTAATGGACCCTCCATATTATTTCTACTCAAATCTCTCCCAAGAGAACCAGAAATTATCATTGACAAATCTGGCAAAATTCCAGAAGTGATCGTTCCCGTAAGAAATCTTATCCGACTCTTCTCTCGACAATTTTCTCTTCTCCCCGATTTGGGGCTTTCTCTGCACTAGGGAATGGCGGGGATTGCTATGGCGGTGCTGTACTGGAGAATGGAGAGTTGCACTGGATTCCAAACCTTGGCTTTTTTATTTGCCATAGAGATCGTAGTGTTCTGGACCGAGATTGTGGTCCTCGACAATCTCAGAGATGTGAAACTGCTCAAACGGAGTTGGCGACCTATATAGGGGAAAAAAACGAAGAATGGAGATGCGGGGTATCGATGCCTCTACTTCTCGCATGCTAAGCGAGTGCTTTACCATCTGAGCTACGTCCCCATATATACACTTTTATTTTATTAGACAATAACCGTTTCACTACATTTTGGATGATCGAAGAAACACGCAGAAAGTTATGGTCATATTGGGGAGTAAACTAGCTGGGTGAAACACACAATTGGGAAGAATCTAGTAACGGTATTAACATCTTTTCCCTCAAGTAACTATATAAATAAATTGATAGTCCTATCAATGTGTTCTTATGCGGAGAGTTCTATGACAATCACATTGCAGCAAACCGCAAACCTGCTAGTCAAGACACTAATCTTGAAACTATTGCCGACACAGACCTTTTTGCTTTTTCATTACGTTTACCTTTTGCTTTTGAGTGAACAACTCTTATGACAATGTTAGAATGAATGGTAGAGAGCAAAAGATAAAAATTTGGAGTTTTGCATTGGTTGAATGAAGACTATGTTCTTAAGCGCTTTCAGGAACCTGCCTATTTCTTGATGTTGAATAAAGTACACTGAAATGAAAATTTTCAATTGGTTTTGATCATTTTGTCTTATCTCACTTCGAGAGTTGAAGCTTTTCCAAGAAGAATAGTATTAGCCATGTCTAATGTGCTGTGTTACAAGTATGGTGAGGCCATGAATTGCTGCAATTCTCTCCCAGTTCTTCACAATCCTGAGAAGTCCTTGTTACTCATTACCTCCAAAACTAATTTTCAAGATAAGGCAGAGGTGTTTCTCAATGAAAAATCATCATGTACAAGTTCTTTTCCTGGTTCAGACCGAGAACTGCCAGTTCCATGCATGCTAAGGAAGAAGATTCCTGTTAAAGAAACTACTTCTGTCAAATATGCTAAGGTAGTTTTCAAGAAACTGTATTCTTCTTAGTGCTTTGTGTTCTATTAAAATTATAGTTGAAGTTATGTTTGAATTCTAACCAGATTTTGATGTTATATATGTAGCATTTAAATGGGAAGAAGATGATCAATGAATATGT